CCAGCCTGGTCTCCAGAGCGAGTGCCAGGATAGGCTCCAAAGCTACACAGAGAAACCCTGTCTTGAAAAACCAAAACCAAAACCAAAAAAAACAAATCAGGTGTAGCGGCAGCGCACACTTTTAATCTCAGCACTCAAGAGGCAGAGGCGGGAGAATCTCTGATTTCTAGGCCAGCCTAGAATACAGAGCAGGTTACAGGCCAACCAGAACTATATGATAAGACCATGTCTCAAGAAATTATAAAATAAAATAAATAAAATTAGCTGGTGAGATGGCTCAGAAGATAAGGGCATTTGGTCCTGGCCCAAGGTTCCTGATTTCAATCCTGAGACCTAAGTGCTAGGAGAGAGAAGACTCCTGCAAGTTGTCCTCTGTCCACCACACAAATATACACACAATCTCTCTCTCTTATACACACACATTTATACACACACACTCACACACACACACACACATACATGTACATACCTATACACACCACCACACATACACACACAACACACATATGTACACACAACATACACACATATACACACACAACACACATATGTACACACAACACACAAATATGTACACACACACACTCATACATACATACATATATACACACTAAAAAGAAGGAAAAAGGAGAGAGAGGTTACAGGCCAAAACCGAGGCCCAAAGAAGGAGCACTAGGGAGGAGAGGCTGGCCTACCTTGGTGGCCACATAGGTAACCGCCTGGGACTGGCCAATGGTTCCCACCAGGCTGGAGATGTTGATAATGTTGCCTCTGCCTCTCCTCAGGTGGGGGAGGGCAAGCTGTGGAGACAGACAGATCAGCCACCTGCACCTGGTCCCTTCAGAGAGGCTACCAACCCCTGAGGTGAGGGACTGAGACCTTTGCCCCACATTCTTAGTGGATCTCAGTGGGCAGAGGAACAGCGATGGTGTGTCTATGGTGTGCCAGAGGCCTCTGGGGGTGGATTTCTGTGTCTTTTCTCGTTCTCTCTCTCCCTTTTTCTCTTCCCTCCTCCTCCCAGCTCTCTCTCTCTCTCTCTCTCTCTCTCTCTCTCTCTCTCTCT